GGTTAGAGAGATGCAGTTTACCAGAATTCTGTATCCTGGGTGTAGAATGAAGGCGTTTACAAGAGTTCTGGAGCCTGGGACTAGCAATACGCAATATGCGGGTTTGCTATGAGCTGTAGATGAATGCCTGGGGTAGGCGTTCGCACTGTAAAGGATTTCAGTAACCTGAGTGTTGAGAGAAGCAGTTTGCACCAGTTCTGTAGCCTGGCAGTAGGCATTCCCAATATCTGGATACTGTGGCTTATGTGTAGAAGACACAGCTTGTGTATTTTCAGTATCCTGGTCTTGGATATGCAGTGTACAAGAGTTCTGTAGCCTGGGAGTAGGAGTACGCAATATCTGGAACATCTGTAAGCGTGAGTATAGCAGACACAGCTTGCGGTATTTCTGTATCCTTGTCTAGAGAGAAGCAGTGTACAAGAGTTCTGTAGTCATGGATGTACAGAGAAGTACTTTACAGAGTTCTGTAGCATGATAGTAACAATGCACAATATGCAGGTTTTCCATGACACGAGTGAGGGAGACAAGGTAACGGGGTTTTGTGACATTGGTGAAGGGCAATGTAAGTTGATGAGAGTTCTGTTTCCCTGGTATATGGAAAGCAGTATACAGTGTTGTGTAGCTTGGGAGTAGCAATACGCGATTTGCGGTTTTTGGGTAGCTTAACTGTAGGAGACGCAGCTTAGGGGAGTTCAGTAAGCTGGGTGGTGAGAGATGCAGTTTATGGATTCTGTACGCTCGGTGTAGTTAGAAGCACTTTACAGAGTTCTGTAGTGTGGAGTAGCAATATGCACTCTGCAGGTTTTCTATAGCCCGTGTGTGGGAGATGCAGCTAATGGTGTTCTGTAACGTGGTTGCAGGGAAATGCAGCCTCCGGGAGTTCTATAAGCTGGTGTGGAGAGATGCAGTTTATGGGAATTGTGGAAGCTGCTTACGAGAGAAACAGTTTACCGAGTTCTGTAGCGTGGAGTAGCAATACACAATATGTGGTGTTCCTATAACCTGAATGTGGGAGATGCAGCTCATGTGCTTGTGTGTTAGGTTGGGTAGAGAGATGCAGTTTACCAGAATTCTGTATCCTGGGGTTGTAGAATGAAGGCGTTTACAAGAGTTCTGGAGCCTGGGACTAGCAATACGCAATAATGCGGGTTTGCTATGAGCTGTAGAATGATGCCTGGAGTAGGCATTCGCACTGTACAGGATTTCTGTAACCTGGGTATTGAGAGAAGCAGTTTGCACAGTTCTGTAGCCTGGGAGTAGGCATTCGCAATATCTGGGATATCTGTAGCCTTGGTGCAGCAGACACAGCTTACCGTATTTCTGTATCCTAGGTCTAGAAAGAAGAAGCTTACAAGAGTTCTGTAGCCTGGGAGTAGACATTCGAAATAAGTGGGATTTCTATAGCCTGAGTGTAGGAGATGCAGCTCACGTGCTTTTTGTGACATTGGGGTAGAGAGATGCAGTTTAACAGAGTTCCGTATCCTGGGTGTAGAATGAAGCAGTTTACAAGAGTTCTGTAGCCTGGGAGTTGGAGTACGCTATATCTGGGATATCCGTAGCGTGAGTGTAGCAACGCAGCTTGCAGTATTTCTGTATCCTGGGTCTAGAGAGAAGCAGTTTACAAGAGTTCTGTAGCCTGGATGTACAGAGAAGTACTTTACAGAGTTCTGTAGCATGGAAAGTAGCAATGCACAATATGCAGGTTTTCCATAACACGAGTGTGGGAGATGCAGCAACGGTTGTTTGTAACATTGGTGAAGGGCAATGTAGTTGATGAGAGTTCTGTTTCCCTGGTATATAGAAAAGCAGTATACAGTGTTGTGTAGCCTTGGGAGTAGCAATACGCGATTTGCGGTTTTGGTGTAGCTTAACTGTAGGAGACGCAGCTTACTGAGTTCAGTAAGCTGGGTGGTGAGAGATGCAGTTTATGGGATTCTGTACGCTCGGTGTAGTTAGAAGCACTTTACAGAGTTCTGTATGTGTGGGAGTTGCATACGCACTCTGCAGGTTTCTATAGCCCATGCGGGGGAGTAGCAATATGCAATATGTGGGTGTCCTATAACCTGAATGTGGGAGATGCAGCTCATGTGCTTGTTGTTAGGTTGGGGAGAGAGATGCAGTTTACCAGAATTCTGTATCCTGGGTGTAGAATGAAGGCGTTTACAAGAGTTCTGGAGCCTGGGACTAGCAATACGCAATATGCCGGGTTTGCTATGAGCTGTAGAATGAATGCCTGGGGGTAGGCGTTCGCACTGTAAGGATTTCAGTAACCTGAGTGTTGAGAGAAGCAGTTTGCACCAGTTCTGTAGCCTGGCAGTAGGCATTCCCAATATCTGGGATACCTGTGGCTTATGTGTAGAAGACACAGCTTGTGGTATTTCAGTATCCTGGGTCTTGGGATATGCAGTGTACAAGAGTTCTGTAGCCTGGGAGTAGGAGTACGCAATATCTGGAACATCTGTAGCGTGAGTATAGCAGACACAGCTTGCTGTATTTCTGTATCCTGGTCTAGAGAGAAGCATGTACAAGAGTTCTGTAGTCTGGACTGTACAGAGAAGTACTTTACAGAGTTCTGTAGCATGGAAGTAACAATGCACCATATGCAGTTTTTCCATAATAACACGAGTGAGGGAGACAAGGTAACGGGGGTTTTGTGACATGGTGAAGGGCAATGTAGTTGATGAGAGTTCTGTTTCCCTGGTATATGGAAAAGCAGTATACAGTGTTGTGTAGCTTGGGAGTAGCAATACGCGATTTGCGGTTTTGTGTAGCTTAACTGTAGGAGACGCAGCTTAGGGGAGTTCAGTAAGCTGGGTGGTGAGAGATGCAGTTTATGGGATTCTGTACGCTCGGTGTAGTTAGAAGCACTTTACAGAGTTCTGTAGTGTGGGAGTAGCAATATGCACTCTGGCAGGTTTCTATAGCCCGTGTGGTGGAGATGCAGCTAATGGTGTTCTGTAACGTGAGTTGCAGGGAAAATGCAGCCTCCGGGAGTTCTATAAGCTGGGTGTGGAGAGATGTGCAGTTTATGGGAATTGTGGAAGCTGCTTACAGAGAGAAACAGTTTACCGAGTTCTGTAGCGTGGGAGTAGCAATACACAATATGTGGGTTTCCTATAACCTGAATGTGGGAGATGCAGCTCATGTGCTTGTTGTTAGGTTGGGTAGAGAGATGCAGTTTACCAGAATTCTGTATCCTGGGTGTAGAATGAAGGCGTTTACAAGAGTTCTGGAGCCTGGGACTAGCAATACGCAATATGCGGGTTTGCTATGAGCTGTAGAATGAATGCCTGGGGGTAGGCGTTCGCACTGTAAAGGATTTCAGTAACCTGAGTGTTGAGAGAAGCAGTTTGCACCAGTTCTGTAGCCTGGGAGTAGGCATTCGCAATATCTGGGATATCTGTAGCCTTGGTGCAGCAGACACAGCTTACCGTATTTCTGTATCCTAGGTCTAGAAAGAAGAAGCTTACAAGAGTTCCGTAGCCTGGGAGTAGACATTCGAAATAAGTGGGATTTCTATAGCCTGAGTGTAGGAGATGCAGCTCACGTGCTTTTTGTGACATTGGGGTAGAGAGATGCAGTTTAACAGAGTTCCGTATCCTGGGTGTAGAATGAAGCAGTTTACAAGAGTTCTGTAGCCTGGGAGTTGGAGTACGCTATATCTGGGATATCCGTAGCGTGAGTGTAGCAAACGCAGCTTGCAGTATTTCTGTATCCTGGGTCTAGAGAGAAGCAGTTTACAAGAGTTCTGTAGCCTGGATGTACAGAGAAGTACTTTACAGAGTTCTGTAGCATGGAAGTAGCAATGCACAATATGCAGGTTTTCCATACACGAGTGTGGGAGATGCAGCAACGGTTGTTTTGTAACATTGGTGAAGGGCAATGTAGTTGATGAGTTCTGTTTCCCTGGTATAGAAAAGCAGTATACAGTGTTGTGTAGCTTGGGAGTAGCAATACGCGATTTGCGGTTTTGGTGTAGCTTAACTGTAGGAGACGCAGCTTACTGGAGTTCAGTAAGCTGGGTGGTGAGAGATGCAGTTTATGGGATTCTGTACGCTCGGTGTAGTTAGAAGCACTTTACAGAGTTCTGTAGTGTGGGAGTTGCATACGCACTCTGCAGGTTTTCTATAGCCCATGCGGGGGTAGCAATATGCAATATGTGGGTTTCCTATAACCTGAATGTGGGAGATGCAGCTCATGTGCTTGTTGTTAGGTTGGGTAGAGAGATGCAGTTTACCAGAATTCTGTATCCTGGGTGAATGAAGGCGTTTACAAGAGTTCTGGAGCCTGGGACTAGCAATACGCAATATGCGGGTTTGCTATGAGCTGTAGAATGAATGCCTGGGGGTAGGCGTTCGCACTGTAAAGGATTTCAGTAACCTGAGTGTTGAGAGAAGCAGTTTGCACCAGTTCTGTAGCCTGGGAGTAGGCATTCCCAATATCTGGGATACCTGTGGCTTATGTGTAGAAGACACAGCTTGTGGTATTTCAGTATCCTGGGTCTTGGGATATGCAGTGTACAAGGGTTCTGTAGTCTGGATGTACAGAGAAGTACTTTACAGAGTTCTGTAGCATGGAAGTAGCAATGCACAATATGCAGGTTTTCCATAACACGAGTGAGGGAGACAAGGTAACGGGGTTTTGTGACATTGGTGAAGGGCAATGTAGTTGATGAGAGTTCTGTTTCCCTGGTATAGGAAAAACAGTATACAGTGTTGTGTAGCTTGGGAGTAGCAATACGCGATTTGCGGTTTTTGTGTAGCTTAACTGTAGGAGACGCAGCTTAGGGGAGTTCAGTAAGCTGGGTGGTGAGAGATGCAGTTTATGGGATTCTGTACGCTCGGTGTAGTTAGAAGCACTTTACAGAGTTCTGTAGTGTGGGAGTAGCAATATGCACTCTGCAGGTTTTCTATAGCCCGTGTGTGGGAGATGCTAATGGGTGTTCTGTAACGTGGTTGCAGGGAAATGCAGCCTCCGGGAGTTCTATACTGGGTGTGGAGATGCAGTTTATGGGAATTGTGGAAGCTGCTTACAGAGAGAAACAGTTTACCGAGTTCTGTAGCGTGGGAGTAGCAATACACAATATGTGGGTTTCCTATAACCTGAATGTGGGAGACAGCTCATGTGCTTGTTGTTAGGTTGGGTAGAGAGATGCAGTTTACCAGAATTCTGTATCCTGGGTGTAGAATGAAGGCGTTTACAAGAGTTCTGGAGCCTGGGACTAGCAATACGCAATATGCGGGTTTGCTATGAGCTGTAGAATGAATGCCTGGGAGTAGGCATTCGCACTGTACAGGATTTCTGTAACCTGGGTATTGAGAAGAAGCAGTTTGCACCAGTTCTGTAGCCTGGGAGTAGGCATTCGCAATATCTGGGATATCTGTAGCCTTGGTGCAGCAGACACAGCTTACCGTATTTCTGTATCCTAGGTCTAGAAAGAAGAAGCTTACAAGTTCTGTAGCCTGGGAGTAGACATTCGAAATAAGTGGGATTTCTATAGCCTGAGTGTAGGAGATGCAGCTCACGTGCTTTTTGTGACATTGGGGTAGAGAGATGCAGTTTAACAGAGTTCCGTATCCTGGGTGTAGAATGAAGCAGTTTACAAGAGTTCTGTAGCCTGGGAGTTGGAGTACGCTATATCTGGGATATCCGTAGCGTGAGTGTAGCAAACGCAGCTTGCAGTATTTCTGTATCCTGGGTCTAGAGAGAAGCAGTTTACAAGAGTTCTGTAGCCTGGATGTACAGAGAAGTACTTTACAGAGTTCTGTAGCATGGACAGTAGCAATGCACAATATGCAGGTTTTCCATAACACGAGTGTGGGAGATGCAGCAACGGTTGTTTTGTAAACATTGGTGAAGGGCAATGTAGTTGATGAGAGTTCTGTGTCCCTGGTATATAGAAAAGCAGTATACAGTGTTGTGTAGCTTGGGAGTAGCAATACGCGATTTGCGGTTTTGGTGTAGCTTAACTGTAGGAGACGCAGCTTACTGGAGTTCAGTAAGCTGGGTGGTGAGAGATGCAGTTTATGGGATTCTGTACGCTCGGTGTAGTTAGAAGCACTTTACAGAGTTCTGTAGGTGTGGAGTTGCATACGCACTCTGCAGGTTTTCTATAGCCCATGCGGGGGAGTAGCAATATGCAATATGTGGTTTCCTATAACCTGAATGTGGGAGATGCAGCTCATGTGCTTGTTGTTAGGTTGGGTAGAGAGATGCAGTTTACCAGAATTCTGTATCCTGGGTTGTAGAATGAAGGCGTTTACAAGAGTTCTGGAGCCTGGGACTAGCAATACGCAATATGCGGGTTTGCTATGAGCTGTAGAATGAATGCCTGGGTGGTAGGCGTCGCACTGTAAAGGATTTCAGTAACCTGAGTGTTGAGAGAAGCAGTTTGCCAACCAGTCTGTAGCCTGGGAGTAGGCATTCCCAATATCTGGGAACCTGTGGCTTATGTTGTAGAAGACACAGCTTGTGGTATTTCAGTAAGCCTGGGTCTTGGGATAGCAGTGTACAAGAGTTCTGTAGCCTGGGAGTAGAGTACGCAATATCTGGAACATCTGTAAGCGGGAGTATAGCAGCACACAGCTTGCGGTATTTCTGTATCCTTGGTCTAGAGAGAAGCAGTGTACAAGATGTTCTGTAGTCTGGATGTACAGAGAAGTACTTTAAGAGTTTCTGTAGCATGGAAGTAGCAAGCACCATATGCAGGTTTTCCATAAACAGAGTGAGGGAGACCAAGGTAACGGGGGTTTTGTGACATTGGTGAAGGGCAATGTAGTTGATGAGAGTTCTGTTTCCCTGGTATATGGAAAAGCAGTATACAGTGTTGTGTAGCTTGGGAGTAGCAATACGCGATTGCGGTTTTTTGTGTAGCTTAACTGTAGGAGACGCAGCTTAGGGGAGTTCAGTAGCTGGGTGGTGAGAGATGCAGTTTATGGGGATTCTGTACGCTCGGTGTAGTAGAAGCACTTTACAGAGTTCTGTAGTGTGGGGAGTAGCAATATGCACTCTGCAGGTTTTCTATAGCCCGTGTGTGGGAGATGCAGCTAATGGGTGTTCTGTAACGTGGTGCAGGGAATGCAGCCTTCCCGGGAGTTCTATAAAGCTGGGGGTGGAGAGATGCAGTTTATGGGAATTGTGGAAGCTGCTTACAGAGAGAAACAGTTTACCGAGTTCTGTAGCGTGGGAGTAGCAATACACAATATGTGGGTTTCCTATACCTGAATGTGGGAAGATGCAGCTCATGTGCTTGTTGTTAGGTTGGGTAGAGAGATGCAGTTTACCAGAATTCTGTATCCTGGGTGTAGAATGAAGGCGTGTTACAAGAGTTCTGGAGCTGGGACTAGCAAACGCAATATGCGGGTTTGCTATGAGCTGTAGAATGAATGCCTGGGGGTAGGCGTCGCACTGTAAAGGCTTCAGTAACCTGAGTGTTGAGAGAGCAGTTTGCATGAGTTCTGTAGCCGGGGAGTAGGCATTCGCAATATCTGGGATATCTGTAGCCTTGGTGCAGCAGACACAGCTTACCGTATTTCTGTATCCTAGGTCTAGAAAGAAGAAGCTTACAAGAGTTCTGTAGCCTGGGAGTAGACATTCGAAATAAGTGGGATTTCTATAGCCTGAGTGTAGGATGCAGCTCACGTGCTTTTTGTGACATTGGGGTAGAGAGATGCAGTTTAACAGAGTTCCGTATCCTGGGTGTAGAATGAAGCAGTTTACAAGAGTTCTGTAGCCTGGGAGTTGGAGTACGCTATATCTGGGATATCCGTAGCGTGAGTGTAGCAAACGCAGCTTGCAGTATTTCTGTATCCTGGGTCTAGAGAGAAAGCAGTTTACAAGAGTTCTGTAGCATGGATGTACAGAGAAGTACTTTACAGAGTTCTGTAGCATGGAAGTAGCAATGCACAATATGCAGGTTTTCATAACACGAGTGTGGGAGATGCAGCAACGGTTGTTTTGTAACATTGGTGAAGGGCAATGTAGTTGATGAGAGTTCTGTTTCCCTGGTATATAGAAAGCAGTATACAGTGTTGTGTAGCTTGGGAGTAGCAATACGCGATTTGCGGTTTTGGTGTAGCTTAACTGTAGGAGACGAGCTTACTGGAGTTCAGTAAGCTGGGTGGTGAGAGAGATGCAGTTTATGGGATTCTGTACGCTCGGTGTAGTTAGCAAGCACTTTACAGAGTTCTGTAGTGTGGGAGTTGCATACGCACTCTGCAGGTTTTCTATAGCCCATGCGGGGGAGTAGCAATATGCAATATGTGGGTTTCCTATAACCTGAATGTGGGAGATGCAGCTTATGTGCTTGTTGTTAGGTTGGGTAGAGAGATGCAGTTTACCAGAATTCTGTATCCTGGGTGTAGATGAAGGCGTTTACAAGAGTTCTGGAGCCTGGGACTAGCAATACGCAATATGCGGGTTTGCTATGAGCTGTAGAATGAATGCCTGGGAGTAGGCATTCGCACTGTACAGGATTTCTGTAACCTGGGTATTGAGAGAAGCAGTTTGCACCAGTTCTGTAGCCTGGAGTAGGCATTCGCAATATCTGGGATATCTGTAGCCTTGGTGCAGCAGACACAGCTTACCGTATTTCTGTATCCTAGGTCTAGAAAGAAGAAGCTTACAAGAGTTCTGTAGCCTGGAGTAGACATTCGAAATAAGTGGATTTCTATAGCCTGAGTGTAGGAGATGCAGCTCACGTGCTTTTGTGAATTGGGGTAGAGAGATGCAGTTTAACAGAGTTCCGTATCCTGGGTGTAGAATGAAGCAGTTTACAAGAGTTCTGTAGCCTGGGAGTTGGAGTACGCTATATCTGGGATATCCGTAGCGTGAGTGTAGCAAACGCAGCTTGCAGTATTTCTGTATCCTGGTCTAGAGAGAAGCAGTTTACAAGAGTTCCTGTAGCCTGGATGTACAGAGAAGTACTTTACAGAGTCGTAGCATGGAAGTAGCAATGCACAATATGCAGGTTTTCCATAACACGAGTGTGGGAGATGCAGCAAACGGTTGTTTTGTAACATTGGTGAAGGGCAATGTAGTTGATGAGAGTTCTGTTTCCCTGGTATATAGAAAAGCAGTATACAGTGTTGTGTAGCTTGGGAGTAGCAATACGCGATTTGCGGTTTTGGTGTAGCTTAATGTAGGAGACGCAGCTTAGGGGAGTTCAGTAAGCTGGGTGGTGAGAGATGCAGGTTTATGGGATTCTGTACGCTCGGTGTAGTTAGAAGCACTTTACCGAGTTCTGTAGTGTGGGAGTTGCATACGCACTCTGCAGGTTTTCTATAGCCCATGCGGGGGAGTAGCAATATGCAATATGTGGGTTTCCCTATAACCTGAATGTGGGAGATGCAGCTCATGTGCTTGTTGTTAGGTTGGGTAGAGAGATGCAGTTTACAGAATTCTGTATCCTGGGTGTAGAATGAAGGCGTTTACAAGAGTTCTGGAGCCTGGGACTAGCAATACGCAATATGCGGGTTTGCTATGAGCTGTAGAATGAATGCCTGGGGGTAGGCGTTCGCACTGTAAAGGATTTCAGTAACCTGAGTGTTGAGAGAAGCAGTTTGCACCAGTTCTGTAGCCTGGGATAGCATTCCCAATATCTGGGATACCTGTGGCTTATGTGTAGAAGACACAGCTTGTGGTATTTCAGTCTCCTGGGTCTTGGATATGCAGTGTACAAGAGTTCTGTAGCCTGGGAGTAGAGTACGCAATATCTGGAACATCTGTGCGTGAGTATAGCAGACACAGCTTGCGGTATTTCTGTATCCTTGGTCTAGAGAGAAGCAGTGTACAAGAGTTCTGTAGTCTGGATGTACAGAGAATACTTTACAGAGTTCTGTAGCATGGAAGTAACAATGCACAATATGCAGGTTTTCCATAACACGAGTGAGGGAGACAAGGTAATGGGGGTTTTGTGACATTGGTGAAGGGCAATGTAGTTGATGAGAGTTCGTTTCCCTGGTATATGGAAAAGCATATACAGTGTTGTGTAGCTTGGGAGTAGCAATACGCGTTTGCGGTTTTTGTGTAGCTTAACTGTAGGAGACTCAGCTTAGGGGAGTTCAGTAAGCTGGGTGGTGAGAGATGCAGTTTTATGGGATTCTGTACGCTCGGTGTAGTTAGAAGCACTTTACAGAGTTCTGTAGTGTGAGTAGCAATATGCACTCTGCAGGTTTCTATAGCCCGTGTGGGGAGATGCAGCAATGGGTGTTCTGTAACGTGGTTGCAGGGAAATGCAGCCTCCGGGAGTTCTATAGCTGGGTGTGGAGAGATGCAGTTTATGGGAATTGTGGAAGCTGCTACAGAGAGAACAGTTTACCGAGTTCTGTAGCGTGGGAGTAGCAATACACAATATGTGGGTTTCCTATAACCTGAATGTGGGAGATGCAGCTCATGTGCTTGTTGTTAGGTTGGGTAGAGAGATGCAGTTTACCAGAATCTGTATCCTGGTGTAGAATGAAGGCGTTTACAAGAGTTCTGGAGCCTGGGACTAGCAAAACGCAATAGGGGGTTTGCTATGAGCTGTAGAATGAATGCCTGGGAGTAGGCATTCGCACTGTACAGGATTTCTGTAACCTGGGTATTGAGAGAACAGTTTGCACCAGTTCTGTAGCCTGGGAGTTAGGCATTCCAATATCTGGGATATCTGTAGCCTTGGTGCAGCAGACACAGCTTACCGTATTTCTGTATCCTAGGTCTAGAAAGAAGAAGCTTACAAGAGTTCTGTAGCCTGGGGTAGACATTCGAAATAAGTGGGATTTCTATAGCCTGAGTGTAGGAGATGCAGCTCACGTGCTTTTTGTGACATTGGGGTAGGAGAGATGCAGTTTAACAGAGTTCCGTATCCTGGGTGTAGAATGAAGCAGGTTTACAAGAGTTCTGTAGCCTGGGAGTTGGAGTACGCTATATCTGGGATATCCGTAGCGTGAGTGTAGCAAACGCAGCTTGCAGTATTTCTGTATCCTGGGTCTAGAGAGAAGCAGTTTACAAGAGTTCTGTAGCCTGGATGTACAGAGAAGTACTTTACAGAGTTCTGTAGCATGGAAGTAGCAATGCACAATATGCAGGTTTTCCATACACGAGTGTGGGAGATGCAGCAACGGTTGTTTTGTAACATTGGTGAAGGGCAATGTAGTTGATGATGAGTTCTGTTTCCCTGGTATATAGAAAAGCAGTATACAGTGTTGTGTAGGCTTGGGAGTAGCATACGCGATTTGCGGTTTTGGTGTAGCTTAACGTAGGAGACGCAGCTTACTGGAGTTCAGTAAGCTGGGTGGTGAGAGATGCAGTTTATGGGATTCTGTACGCTCGGTGTAGTTAGAAGCACTTTACAGAGTTCTGTAGTGTGGGAGTTGCATACGCACTCTGCAGGTTTTCTATAGCCCATGCGGGGGAGTAGCAATATGCAATATGTGGGTTTCCTATAACCTGAATGTGGGCGATGCAGCTCATGTGCTTGTTGTTAGGTGGGTAGAGAGATGCAGTTTACCAGAATTCTGTATCCTGGGTGTAGAATGAAGGCGTTTACAAGAGTTCTGGAGCCTGGGACTAGCAATACGCAATATGCGGGTTTGCTATGAGCTGTAGAATGAATGCCTGGGGGTAGGCGTTCGCACTGTAAAGGATTTCAGTAACCTGAGTGTTGAGAGAAGCAGTTTGCACCAGTTCTGTAGCCTGGGAGTAGGCATTCCCAATATCTGGGATACCTGTGGCTTATGTGTAGAAGACACAGCTTGTGGTATTTCAGTATCCTGGGTCTTGGGATATGCAGTGTACAAGCGTTCTGTAGCCTGGGAGTAGGAGTACGCAATATCTGGAACATCTGTAGCGTGAGTATAGCAGACACAGCTTGCGGTATTTCTGTATCCTTGGTCTAGAGAGAAGCAGTGTACAAGAGTTCTGTAGTCTGGATGTACAGAGAAGTACTTTACAGAGTTCTGTAGCATGGAAGTAGCAATGCACCATATGCAGGTTTTCCATAACACGAGTGAGGGAGAACAAGGTAACGGGGGTTTTGTGACATTGGTGAAGGGCACTGTAGTTGATGAGAGTTCTGTTTCCCTGGTATATGGAAAAGCAGTATACAGTGTTGTGTAGCTTGGGAGTAGCAATACGCGATTTGCGGTTTTTTGTGTAGCTTAACTGTAGGAGACGCAGCTTAGGGGAGTTCAGTAAGCTGGGTGGTGAGAGATGCAGTTTATGGGATTCTGTACGCTCGGTGTAGTTAGAAGCACTTTACAGAGTTCTGTAGTGTGGGAGTAGCAATATGCACTCTGCAGGTTTTCTATAGCCCGTGTGTGGGAGATGCAGCTAATGGGTGTTCTGTAACCTGGTTGCAGGGAAATGCAGCCTCCGGGCGTTCTATAAGCTGGGTGTGGAGAGATGCAGTTTATGGGAATTGTGGAAGCTGCTTACCGAGAGAAACAGTTTACCGAGTTCTGTAGCGTGGGAGTAGCAATACACAATATGTGGGTTTCCTATAACCTGAATGTGGGAGATGCAGCTCATGTGCTTGTTGTTAGGTTGGGTAGAGAGATGCAGTTTACCAGAATTCTGTATCCTGGGTGTAGAATGAAGGCGTTTACAAGAGTTCTGGAGCCTGGGACTAGCAAAACGCAATATGCGGGTTTGCTATGAGCTGTAGAATGAATGCCTGGGAGTAGGCATTCGCACTGTACAGGATTTCTGTAACCTGGGTATTGAGAGAAGCAGTTTGCACCAGTTCTGTAGCCTGGGAGTAGGCATTCGCAATATCTGGGATATCTGTAGCCTTGGTGCAGCAGACACAGCTTACCGTATTTCTGTATCCTAGGTCTAGAAAGAAGAAGCTTACAAGAGTTCTGTAGCCTGGGAGTAGACATTCGAATAAGTGGGATTTCTATAGCCTGAGTGTAGGAGATGCAGCTCACGTGCTTTTTGTGACATTGGGGTAGAGAGATGCAGTTTAACAGAGTTCCGTATCCTGGGTGTAGAATGAAGCAGTTTACAAGAGTTCTGTAGCCTGGGAGTTGGAGTACGCTATATCTGGGATATCCGTAGCGTGAGTGTAGCAAACGCAGCTTGCAGTATTTCTGTATCCTGGGTCTAGAGAGAAGCAGTTTACAAGAGTTCTGTAGCCTGGATGTACAGAGAAGTACTTTACAGAGTTCTGTAGCATGGAAGTAGCAATGCACAATATGCAGGTTTTCCATAACACGAGTGTGGGAGATGCAGCAACGGTTGTTTTGTAACATTGGTGAAGGGCAATGTAGTTGATGAGAGTTCTGTTTCCCTGGTATATAGAAAAGCAGTATACAGTGTTGTGTAGCTTGGGAGTAGCAATACGCGATTTGCGGTTTTGTGTAGCTTAACTGTAGGAGACGCAGCTTAGGGGAGTTCAGTAAGCTGGGTGGTGAGAGATGCAGTTTATGGGATTCTGTACGCTCGGTGTAGTTAGAAGCACTTTACAGAGTTCTGTAGTGTGGGAGTTGCATACGCACTCTGCAGGTTTTCTATAGCCCATGCGGGGGAGTAGCAATATGCAATATGTGGGTTTCCTATAACCTGAATGTGGGAGATGCAGCTCATGTGCTTGTTGTTAGGTTGGGTAGAGAGATGCAGTTTACCAGAATTCTGTATCCTGGGTGTAGAATGAAGGCGTTTACAAGAGTTCTGGAGCCTGGGACTAGCAAAACGCAATATGCGGGTTTGCTATGAGCTGTAGAATGAATGCCTGGGGGTAGGCGTTCGCACTGTAAAGGATTTCAGTAACCTGAGTGTTGAGAGAAGCAGTTTGCATGAGTTCTGTAGCCTGGGAGTAGGCATTCGCAATATCTGGGATATCTGTAGCCTTGGTGCAGCAGACACAGCTTACCGTATTTCTGTATCCTAGGTCTAGAAAGAAGAAGCTTACAAGAGTTCTGTAGCCTGGGAGTAGACATTCGAAATAAGTGGGATTTCTATAGCCTGAGTGTAGGAGATGCAGCTCACGTGCTTTTTGTGACATTGGGGTAGAGAGATGCAGTTAACAGAGGTCCGTATCCTGGGTGTAGAATGAAGCAGTTTACAAGAGTTCTGTAGCCTGGGAGTTGGAGTAACGCTATATCTGGGATATCCGTAGCGTGAGTGTAGCAAACGCAGCTTGCAGTATTTCTGTATCCTGGGTCTAGAGAGAAGCAGTTTACAAGAGTTCTGTAGCCTGGATGTACAGAGAAGTACTTTACAGAGTTCTGTAGCATGGAAGTAGCAATGCACAATATGCAGGTTTTTCCATAACACGAGTGTGGGAGATGCAGCAACGGTTGTTTTGTAACATGGTGAAGGGCAATGTAGTTGATGAGAGTTCTGTTTCCCTGGTATATAGAAAAGCAGTATACAGTGTTGTGTAGCTTGGGAGTAGCAATACGCGATTTGCGGTTTTGGTGTAGCTTACTGTAGGAGACGCAGCTTACTGGAGTTCAGTAAGCTGGGTGGTGAGAGATGCAGTTTTATGGGATTCTGTACGCTCGGTGTAGTTAGAAGCACTTTACAGAGTTCTGTAGTGTGGGAGTTGCATACGCACTCTGCAGGTTTTCTATAGCCCATGCGGGGGAGTAGCAATAGCAATATGTGGGTTTCCTATAACCTGAATGTGGGAGATGCAGCTCATGTGCTTGTTGTTAGGTTGGGTAGAGAGATGCAGTTTACCAGAATTCTGTATCCTGGGGTGTAGAATGAAGGCGTTTACAAGAGTTCTGGAGCCGGGACTAGCAATACGCAATATGCGGGTTTGCTATGAGCTGTAGAATGAATGCCTGGGGGTAGGCGTTCGCACTGTAAAGGATTTCAGTAACCTGAGTGTTGAGAGAAGCAGTTTGCACCAGTTCTGTAGCCTGGGATGTAGGCATTCCCAATATCTGGGATATCTGTAGCCTTGGTGCAGCAGACACAGCTTACCGTATTTCTGTATCCTAGGTCTAGAAAGAAGAAGCTTACAAGAGTTCTGTAGCCTGGGAGTAGACATTCGAAATAAGTGGGATTTCTATAGCCTGAGTGTAGGAGATGCAGCTCACGTGCTTTTTGTGACATTGGGGGTAGAGAGATGCAGTTTAACAGAGTTCCGTATCCTGGGTGTAGAATGAAGCAGTTTACAAGAGTTCTGTAGCCTGGGAGTTGGAGTACGCTCTATCTGGGATATCCGTAGCGTGAGTGTAGCAAACGCAGCTTGCAGTATTTCTGTATCCTGGGTCTAGAGAGAAGCAGTTTACAAGAGTCTGTAGCCTGGATGTACAGAGAAGTACTTTACAGAGTTCTGTAGCATGGAAGTAGCAATGCACAATATGCAGGTTTTCCATAACACGAGTGTGGGAGATGCAGCAACGGTTGTTTTGTAACATTGGTGAAGGGCAATGTAGTGATGAGAGTCTGTTTCCCTGGTATATAGAAAAGCAGTATACAGTGTGTGTAGCTTGGAGTAGCAATACGCGATTTGCGGTTTTGGTGTAGCTTAACTGTAGGAGACGCAGCTTACTGGAGTTCAGTAAGCTGGGTGGTGAGAGATGCAGTTATGGGATTCTGTACGCTCGGTGTAGTTAGAAGCACTTTACAGAGTTCTGTAGTGTGGGAGTTGCATACGCACTCTGCAGGTTTTCTATAGCCCATGCGGGGGAGTAGTAGCAATATGCAATATGTGGGTTTCCTATAACCTGACTGTGGGAGATGCAGCTCATGTGCTTGTTGTTAGGTTGGGTAGAGAGATGCAGTTTACCAGAATTCTGTATCCTGGGTGTAGAATGAAGGTCGTTTACAAGAGTTCTGGAGCCTGGGACTAGCAATACGCAATATGCGGGTTTGCTATGAGCTGTAGAATGAATGCCTGGGGGTAGGCGTTCACACTGTAAAGGATTTCAGTAACCTGAGTGTTGAGGAGAAGCAGTTTGCACCAGTTCTGTAGCCTGGGAGTAGGCATTCGCAATATCTGGGATATCTGTAGCCTTGGTGCAGCAGACACAGCTTACCGTATTTCTGTATCCTAGGTCTAGAAAGAAGAAGCCTTACAAGAGTTCTGTAGCCTGGGAGTAGACATTCGAACTAAGTGGGATTCTATAGCCTGAGTGTAGGAGATGCAGCTCACGTGCTTTTTGTGACATTGGGGTAGAGAGATGCAGTTTAACAGAGTTCCCGTATCCTGGGTGTAGAATGAAGCAGTTTACAAGAGTTCTGTAGCCTGGGAGTTGGAGTACGCTATATCTGGGATATCCGTAGCGTGAGTGTAGCAAACGCAGCTTGCAGTATTTCTGTATCCTGGGTCTAGAGAGAAGCAGTTTACAAGAGTTCTGTAGCCTGGATGTACAGAGAAGTACTTTACAGAGTTCTGTAGCATGGAAGTAGCAATGCACAATATGCAGGTTTTCCATAACACGAGTGTGGGAGATGCAGCAACGGTTGTTTTGTAACATTGGTGAAGGGCAATGTAGTTGATGAGAGTTCTGTTTCCCTGGTATATAGAAAAGCAGTATACAGTGTTGTGTAGCTTGGGAGTAGCAATACGCGATTTGCGGTTTTGGTGTAGCTTAACTGTAGGAGACGCAGCTTAGGGGAGTTCAGTAAGCTGGGTGGTGAGAGATGCAGTTTATGGGATTCTGTACGCTCGGTGTAGTTAGAAGCACTTTACAGAGTTCTGTAGTGTGGGAGTTGCATACGCACTCTGCAGGTTTTCTATAGCCCATGCGGGGGAGTAGCAATATGCAATATGTGGGTTTCCTATAACCTGAATGTGGGAGATGCAGCTCATGTGCTTGTTGTTAGGTTGGGTAGAGAGATGCAGTTTACCAGAATTCTGTATCCTGGGTGTAGAATGAAGGCGTTTACAAGAGTTCTGGAGCCTGGGACTAGCAATACGCAATATGCGGGTTTGCTATGAGCTGTAGAATGAATGCCTGGGGTAGGCGTTCGCACTGTAAAGGATTTCAGTAACCTGAGTGTTGAGAGAAGCAGTTTGCACCAGTTCTGTAGCCTGGGAGTAGGCATTCCCAATATCTGGGATACCTGTGGCTTATGTGTAGAAGACACAGCTTGTGGTATTTCAGTATCCTGGGTCTTGGGATATGCAGTGTACAAGAGTTCTGTAGCCTGGGAGTAGGAGTACGCAATATCTGGAACATCTGTAGCGTGAGTATAGCAGACCCAGCTTGCGGTATTTCTGTATCCTTGGTCTAGAGAGAAGCAGTGTACAAGAGTCTGTAGTCTGGATGTACAGAGAAGTACTTTACAGAGTTCTGTAGCATGGAAGTAACAATGCACAATATGCAGGTTTTCCATAACACGAGTGAGGGAGACAAGGTAACGGGGGTTTTGTGACATTGGTGAAGGGCAATGTAGTGATGAGAGTTCTGTTCCCTGGTATATGGAAAAGCAGTATACAGTGTTGTGTAGCTGGGAGTAGCATACGCGATTTGCGGTTTTTGTGTAGCTTAACTGTAGGAGGACTCAGCTTAGGGGAGTTCAGTAAGCTGGGTGGTGAGAGATGCAGTTTATGGATTCTGTACGCTCGGTGTAGTTAGAAGCACTTTACGAGTTCTGTAGTGTGGGAGTAGCAATATGCACTCTGCAGGTTTTCTATAGCCCGTGTGTGGGAGATGCAGCTAATGGGTGTTCTGTAACGTGGTTGCAGGGAAATGCAGCCTCAGGGAGTTCTATAAGCTGGGTGTGGAGAGATGCAGTTTATGGGAATTGTGGAAGCTGCTTACAGAGAGAAACAGTTTACCGAGTTCTGTAGCGTGGGAGTAGCAATACACAATATGTGGGTTTCCTATAACCTGAATGTGGGAGATGCAGCTCATGTGCTTGTTGTTAGGTTGGGTTAGAGAGATGCAGTTTACCAGAATTCTGTATCCTGGGTGTAGAATGAAGGCGTTTACAAGAGTTTCTGGAGCCTGGGACTAGCAAAACGCAATATGCGGGTTTGCTATGAGCTGTAGACTGAATGCCTGGGAGTAGGCATTCGCACTGTACAGGATTTCTGTAACCTGGGTATGAGAGAAGAAGCAGTTTGCACCAGTTCTGTAGCCTGGGAGTAGGCATTCGCAATATCTGGGATATCTGTAGCCTTGGTGCAGCAGACACAGCTTACCGTATTTCTGTATCCTAGGTCTAGAAGAAGAAGAAGTTACAAGAGTTCTGTAGCCTGGGAGTAGACATTCGAAATAAGTGGATTTCTATAGCCTGAGTGTAGGAGATGCAGCTCACGTGCTTTTTGTGACATTGGGGTAGAGAGATGCAGTTTAACAGAGTTCCGTATCCTGGGTGTAGAATGAAGCAGTTTACAAGAGTTCTGTAGCCTGGGAGTTGGAGTACGCTATATCTGGGATATCCGTAGCGTGAGTGTAGCAAACGCAGCTTGCAGTATTTCTGTATCCTGGGTCTAGAGAGAAGCAGTTTACAAGAGTTCTGTAGCCTGGATGTACAGAGAAGTACTTTACAGAGTTCTGTAGCATGGAAGTAGCAATGCACAATATGCAGGTTTTCCATAACACGAGTGTGGGAGATGCAGCAACGGTTGTTTTGTAACATTGGTGAAGGGCAATGTAGTGATGAGAGTTCTGTTTCCCTGGTATATAGAAAAGCAGTATACAGTGTTGTGTAGCTTGGGAGTAGCAATACGCGATTTGCGGTTTTGGTGTAGCTTAACTGTAGGAGACGCAGCTTACTGGAGTTCAGTAAGCTGGGTGGTGAGAGATGCAGTTTATGGGATTCTGTACGCTCGGTGTAGTTAGAAGCACTTTACAGAGTTCTGTAGTGTGGGAGTGCATACGCACTCTGCAGGTTTTCTATAGCCCATGCGGGGGAGTAGCAATATGCAATATGTGGGTTTCCTATAACCTGAATGTGGGCGATGCAGCTCATGTGCTTGTTGTTAGGTTGGGTAGAGAGATGCAGTTTACCAGAATTCTGTATCCTGGGTGTAGAATGAAGGCGTTTACAAGAGTTCTGGAAGCCTGGGACTAGCAATACGCAATATGCGGGTTTGCTATGAGCTGTAGAATGAATGCCTGGGGGTAGGCGTTCGCACTGTAAAGGATTTCAGTAACCTGAGTGTTGAGAGAAGCAGTTTGCACCAGTTCTGTAGCCTGGGAGTAGGCATTCCACTATCTGGGATACCTGTGGCTTATGTGTAGAAGACACAGCTTGTGGTATTTCAGTATCCTGGGTCTTGGGATATGCAGTGTACAAGAGTTCTGTAGCCTGGAGAGTAGGAGTACGCAATATCTGGAACATCTGTAGCGTGAGTATAGCAGACACAGATTGCGGTATTTCTGTATCCTTGGTCTAGAGAGAAGCAGTGTACAAGAGTTCTGTAGTCTGGATGTACAGAGAAGTACTTTACAGAGTTCTGTAGCATGGAAGTAGCAATGCACCATATGCAGGTTTTCCATAACACGAGTGAGGGAGACAAGGTAACGGGGGTTTTGTGACATTGGTGAAGGGCAATGTAGTTGATGAGAGTCTGTTTCCCTGTATATGGAAAAGCAGTATACAGTGTTGTGTAGCTTGGGAGTAGCAATACGCGATTTGCGGTTTTTGTGTAGCTTAACTGTAGGAGACGCAGCTTAGGGAGTTCAGTAAGCTGGGTGGTGAGAGATGCAGTTATGGGATTCTGTACGCGGTGTAGTTAGAAGCACTTTACAGAGTTCTGTAGTGTGGGAGTAGCATATGCACTCTGCAGGTTTTCTATAGCCCGTGTGTGGGAGATGCAGCTAATGGGTTGTTCTGTAACCTGGTTGCAGGGAAATGCAGCCTCCGGGAGTTCTATAAGCTGGTGTGGGAGAGATGCAGTTTATGGGAATTGTGGAAGCTGCTTACAGAGAGAAATACAGTTTACGAGTTCTGTAGCGTGGGATAGCAATACACAATATGGGGTTTCCTATAACCTGAATGTGGGAGATGCAGCTCATGTGCTTGTGTTAGGTTGGTAGAGAGATGCGTTTTACCAGAATTCTGTATCCTGGGTGTAGAATGAAGGCGTTTACAAGAGTTCTGGAGCCTGGGACTAGCAAACGCAATATGCGGGTTTGCTATGACTGTAGAATGAATGCCTGGGAGTAGGTTCGCACTGTACAGGATTTCTGTAACCTGGTTTTGAGAGAAGCAGTTTGCACCAGTTCTGTAGCCTGGAGTAGGCATTCGCAATATCTGTGGATCTGTAGCCTTGTGCAGCAGACACAGCTTACCGTATTTCTGTATCAGGTCTAGAAAGAAGAAGCTTACAAGAGTTCTGTAGCCTGGGAGTAGACATTTCGAAATAAGTGGGATTTCTATAGCCTGAGTGTAGGATTGCAGCTCACGTGCTTTTTGTGACATTGGGTAGAGAGATGCAGTTTAACAGAGTTCCGTATCCTGGGTGTAGAAATGCAGTTTACAAGAGTTCTGTAGCCTGGGAGTTGGAGTACGCTATCTGGGATATCCGTAGCGTGAGTGTAGCAAACGCAGCTTGCAGTATTTCTGTATCCTGGGTCTAGAGAGAAGCAGTTTACAAGAGTTCTGTAGCCTGGATGTCCAGAGAAGTACTTTACAGAGTTCTGTAGCATGGAAGTAGCAATGCACAATATGCAGTTTTCCATAACACGAGTGTGGGAGATGCAGCAACGGTTTTGTTGTAACATTGGTGAAGGGCAATGTAGTTGATGAGAGTTCTGTTTCCCTGTATATCGAAAAGCAGTATACAGTGTTGTGTAGCTTGGGAGTAGCAATACGCGATTTGCGGTTTTGGTGTAGCTTAACTGTAGGAGACCAGCTTACTGAGTTCAGTAAGCTGGTGGTGAGAGATGCAGTTTATGGGATTCTGTACGCTCGTGTAGTTAGAAGCACTTTACAGAGTTCTGTAGTGTGGGAGTTGCATACGCACTCTCAGGTTTTCTATAGCCCATGCGGGAGTAGCAATATGCATATGTGGGTTTCCTATAACCTTAATGTGTAGATGCAGCTCATGTGCTGTTGTTAGGTTGGGTAGAGAGAGCAGTTTACCCGAATTCTGTATCCTGGGTGTAGAATGAAGGCGTTTACAGAGTTCTGGAGCCTGGGACTAGCAAACGCCATATGCGGGTTTGCTATGAGCTGTAGAAGAATGCCTGGGGTAGGCGTTCGCACTGTAAAGGATTTCAGTACCTGAGTGTTGAGAGAAGCAGTTTGCATGAGTTCTGTAGCCTGGGAGTAGGCATTCCGCAATATCTGGGATACTGTAGCCTTGGGCAGCACGCACAGCTACCGTATTTCTGTATCCTAGGTCTAGGAAGAGCTTACAAGAGTTCTGTAGCCTGGGAGTAGACATTCGAAATAAGTGGGATTTCTATAGCCTGAGTGTAGGAGATCGCCACTGCTTTTTGTGACATTGGGGTAGAGAGATGCAGTTTACAGAGTTCCGTATCCTGGGTGAGAATGAAGCAGTTTACAAGATTCTGTAGCCTGGGAGTTGGAGTAGCTATATCTGGGATATCCGTAGCGTGAGTGTAGCAAACGCAGCTTGCAGTATTTCTGTATCCTGGGTCTAGAGAGAGCAGTTTACAAGAGTCTGTAGCCTGGATGTACAGAGAAGTACTTTACAGAGTTCTGTAGCATGGAAGTAGCAATGCACATATGCAGGTTTTCCATAACACGAGTGTGGGATGCAGCAACGGTTGTTTTGTAACATTGGTGAAGGGCAATGTAGTTGATGAGAGTTCTGTTTCCTGTATAGAGAAAAGCAGTATACAGTGTTGTGTAGCTTGGGAGTAGCAATACGCGATTTGCGGTTTTGGTGTAGCTTAACTGTAGGACGCAGCTTACTGGAGTTCAGTAAGCTGGGTGGTGAGAGATGCAGTTTATGGATTCTGTACCTCGTGTAGTTAGAAGCACTTTACAGAGTTCTGTAGTGTGGGAGTTGCATACGCACTCTGCAGGTTTTCTATAGCCCATGCGTGGGAGTAGCAATATGCATATGTGGGTTTCCTATAACCTGAATGTGGGAGATGCAGCTCCTGGCTTGTTGTTTAGGTTGGGTAGAGAGATGCAGTTTACCAGAATTCTGTATCCTGGTGTAGAATGAAGGCGTTTACAAGAGTTCTGGAGCCTGGGACTAGCATACGCAATATGCGGGTTTGCTATGAGCTGTAGAATGAATGCCTGGGTAGGCGTTCGCACTGTA